TTATCCTCTTGCGTAGTGACTGTCCAGTTTGGCCAATGTACATAGCAGAAGGGCATTGCTGGCACATGATGGCATATATAACATTGGTGGACGTGCAGGTGAATGAGCCGGTGATGTTGTAGCTGATCTGGTTAGGTTCTGTGATGGTGTTGCTGGTGTAGATATGTGGGCAGAGTTGGCATCGAGGTTTGTTGCATGGATTGGTTCCTGAGTTAGAGCTGTTATAGTGCGGTGCGTGATTGCTGGTGAGAATATGGTTAAGGTTGGCAGGCTGTCTGTGGGCGAGGACTGGCCTGCCTCCCAAGGTCTGAGAAAGTGAGGGATAATTGTCCAGGATGGGTTGTAGATCACTAATGATGCGTTGTAGAGGTTTAAGCTGAGGACTGTAGGTGATGGCCAGTGGAGTTCTGTTGGTTTCTTTTTTGGGCTTGTCTTGTAGCAGGAGGCTTCTGGGTACACGTCTGGCTCTGTTGATTTGTTTCCTTATTTCCTTGTGTGGGTATCGTAGTTTTGAGAATGCTTGATGAAGATCTTGTAGGTGTTGGTCTCTGTCTGAGGGTTGGAGCAGATGCGGTTGTACCTCAGCGCTTGGCTGTAGACGATGGATCGTGTGGTGTGTCCAGGGTGGAAGCTGGAGGCATGAAGGTAGGTGTAGTGGTCGGTGGGTTTTCAGTATAGGGTGGTGTTAACATGGCCGTCGCTTATTTGGACTGTGGTGTCTAGGAAGTGGACCTACCGTGTAGATTGTTCCAGGCTGAGTTTGATGGTGGGGTGAAAGCTGTTGAAATCGTGGTGGAATTCTTTCAGGGTCTTCTTCCCATGGGTCCAGATGATGAAGATGTCATCAATGTAGCATAGGTAGAGAAGGGGTGTGAGTGGACTAGAGCTGAGGAAGCGTTGTTCCAGGTCAGCCATAAAAATGTTGGCATGTTGTGGGGCCATGTGGGTGCACCAAAGAAGTTTGAGTTACAAACACATAGCAAAATGTCAAACTCCATATCCAGTATTGATACACACATTATAACAAGATAACAATACACAGCAGATTATAAGTTTTTCAATGATACCGTACAAGGTATATTTTATACAAGATTTATCACAATTTTGCAAAAGTGGTGGTGACCATATTAGAGTAGTCGATCCCTTCCCCATTATACAACATCACATATGCACATAAATATTTGCAGGATCTGGGCCCATCTCCTAATCCTGCCATTTGTTCCAGAGGGGAGGATCTCTGCACCCATGTGGGAATCCATTAACTTCATTGTGGCTTCACATACACTCAGGGCTCTGACCCCATGAAGCAGTTTGCATGATCAAGGTCTGTGGGACAAGTTCAGCAGAGCCATTTGTGTTGACTCACATAAAAGGCTTTTTTCAAGCCACAAACTAGATCTCAAAGGATAGATGACAGAGAGGGAGCAGGGAAAGAGATGGTTATTTTTAGTGCTGCATAAATATTGTTTTAAGTTAGTTTGTTTTTTATATATATACTTTAAACACTGTTAGGTTTAATTTTGTGCCTGGCACATTTTAACTATGGTTAATTCTCTCTGAAATGGCTCTTAAGAAATGCTTTTAATACAACATTTTCCTATTGTATATTAAAAAAAATCTTTTCACAGTCTTTGTTTAATCCCGTTCTGATGGTGTCAAATTTGCAAATGAACTGGAGCTCAGCAGTTTCTCTTTGGAGTCTGGTCCTGAAGTTTTTTTTACAGCAAAAAGACTGTGAATGGCTATCCAACTACAGAAGCAGTTTCTCCTCCCTTGGTGTTCACACCTCAACTGCTAGCAGAGCACCTCACCCTCCCTGATTGAAGTAACCTCCTTATCTCCACACTGATTTATACCTGCCTCTGGAGATTTCCATTACTTGCATCTGAAGAAGTGAGGTTCTTACCCATGAAAGCTTATGCTCCCAATACTTCTGTTAGTCTCAAAGGTGCCACAGGACCCTCTGAGACTTAATTTAGACTCCATGTGGGTTTGGATATACCTGTGTGAAAGAGTTTGTATGTGTGGCCTTAGTGCCATTCACGCCTTGGAGAGAAGGAGTGTTTTAATTACACAACAGTAAATTATTGTTTTTTTTTTACTTAGTATATGAAATACACTATAATTGTGGACACTATAGCAACAACTCCTCATTCACACAAATATCCCATCACTTCCCATTCAGAAACATTAGCCAATTATACAAAAAATGATGACTTTATATTCTGAATAATACTTTCTCTAGATTTCACCTAAGAATAACAACATATTATACAGTTTACTTTTACCTGCCATACTTGGTGTAGTTTCTTGTGTATTTGTTTTTATAAATTTAAATGAAATATTAAACAGTAATTATTTTAACTTACCAGGTGTTTGTGTTGCTTACAGCATGGTATACCTTACAGTCAGGAGGCTCTGAGCTGGATGCAGTAGAGAGAGGCTGTGGTCAGTGTGAGACTGATCAGTGTGATGGAAGTGTGGGGTTTGGAGGAAGTCCAGATGAACATGGAGAAACAACATTGGATGCCATGATTATGGATGGGTAAGAAAGTTACTTGGAGAAGAGAATAATCCTAAGGATTTTTAGTACAGTTCAATATGATGTAAGCATTGTTATATGTCCGATGCCATCATGTTGATGTGTTCAATAAACATTAGATTGCACTCAAACTCTAATATTGATGTGTTCATGGGTACAGTAGAAAGAGGGAAATATCCAATCAAGCAGGGACTAGATTGCCATGGCACCAGGATGTTTGGAAGCTAACTAAGCATTTTTGTTGCAATCCGACATTAATTTCCGATAGCTTGATTGCTAGATATGGGAGCTAAGGAATGCGTATGGAGTTCCTGGGAGTAGAGTAGAGATTCTCCCTGAAAATGAAGCATAATGCACAGCACCTATATGACTGTTTGCCTGAAGAGGCAGAGAAAGGCTTACTTCTGCAGGATTGGGATATCTGAAGGTTTAAGCATAATCTTAATAGAGGACCATTTGCTCTTTAATTTCCATACAAATTTTACTTTCATGACAATTCTGTGTTATGTCTTTTAGACCTTATTCATTGTTTAGGTCTGGCCTACACGTGAAAGTCCTACTAGAGTTACTGGTTTGCTTAGGGGTGCAATTATTTATACCTGAAATACTTACACTAGTAAAACTCGAATATGGATGCATTTATATCAGTACAAAGATGATTTCAACCAGTACGGTATAATGTACCTCTATACTGATATAACTGCTTTCAGGGATGTTGTACTCCTTTAACTATACCAGTATAGATAAAATGGTACAACTTCTTACTGTAGACAAGCACAAAGTGTATATAGCAAAAAATATGTAATTGTTTTATTATCCTCTGTTACTGTTTAATATATGCACACCTTAAATATTTCTCACTTCCATATTCTTCTTGTTTCAGCAACACCATGGAAGTTGGGGCAGTAGCAGATCTCAGACGTATAAAAAATGCTATTGGTGTAGCACGGAAAGTGATTAAGCATACTAAGCACACATTATTAGTGGGGGAGTCAGGTAATTATGTACTTTATTCAGTTATTTCCAATTCTTACCCTTGTCTTAATTATCACTATACAATAAGGAGACTTACGATAGATAAATCTTGATGGTAGAGGAATCCCCCACATATATATTAAGTAATTGAAAAGCATTTATCCTTCTTTAAGTTTATTAAATATCTACAATTATCAGGGTTTTTTATTCTGCTATTTCTGCTTGAACTAAAACAAAGGGTTTTGTATTCCCTCTACAGATCCAGCTGCAACTATTAACTTTTAATGCCAGAGCTGTTTTAATATCACTGAAAATACAGATACTAAGTGAAGATGTTTTGACATAAGACACTATATAAATGGAAGCTGGTATATGCCAATATTTCATTTAAAATACAAGGGAAGCTTTACTAAAAAAATGAATGGCAGAATTTGGTACCTAATTTTATTTCAGAATTCATTTTCATATTTATTGAGCACAGTCATTGTACTTTGCAATTTAAAAACATATATGAAGACTTTCTGCCTCAAAGAGCTTTTAAATAAATCAGGTACTGTACAGCTTGGCACAACACACCACATGGTGATAAATTCTATAAACAGTGGAGGTTTCATCTTCTTAAGGTAACTTAATACTTTATTGGTGGATTAATATCTTTAAACTTTATGGAAGAAATGTTTCTAGGAAGACTTTGAATAGGGAATGGAAGATTAGTTGGCTTAAGGGTTTTTTAAGTGTAGGGGGTTGCATGGAGGAAGTCATGAAGGCAAAGATGATATTTAAAAAGAGGTGACGTGGTCATTGATAGGAGAGGACGATGGATTTGGCAGTAGCATTTTGGATGGAATAAAGAAAATGAGACAAGACAAAGATGACAGTTGCTGTAGTTGATGCGAAGACTTCTCTAGGTCTGGAAAGGGAGGGCTGGAGTTTGAGATGCTTTACAGACCCTTTTGATTTGACCAGGAGGCGGTCACTAGTGGCTGTGGTAAGAGGAGTATCAGTAGCATACAAGTATCAGGCTTGCATCTGAAGAAGTGAGGTTCTTACCCACGAAAGCTTATGCTCCCAGTACTTCTGTTAGTCTCAAAGGTGCCACAGGACCCTCTGTTGCTAGTAGCATACAAGGGATCCAGGAAGGGAATGAGTAGAGTGGGAAGTAAAGAAAGTCATAGTAGACTTTGTGCTTCAAGGCGAAAGAGAGGTTTGGGATGGGGTAAACTAAAAGATGTTTGGGAATAGCAGAGCAAGCTAGAATAGCAGGAATGAAGTCTGAGAATGACTGAGAATAAGGAAGGTAGGTTTGAAGAGCAAGTCAGAGGGGGTGACAAACTTCAGTGCCATGTGTCAGAAGGGTATAGAAGATGGAAGGGGGGAAAAACAAATTCTTTGTGAAGGAAGTTGGAATGGTCATACAATTTTCTCTGGAAGTGCTCAGCGGGATGAGAGCAGGAATGTTGGAAGCCAATATGAGGAGTTACACTGGGAACTGGTAAAGCAAACACTGATGGGAGAGGATAGCAGACTCACTAGAGTGTGGACTTGAACATTAAAATCAGTGGAGGAGAGGAAGGCAAATTTCTGTTCTACACAAAGTATTCGAAACAATTTAAAAAAAAATTGTCCTTAAAATGTGCTTAGATTGAATGACTTCTTGTAAGAGTTGTTCTACAGTATTGTCTGCTTTTTATCAAGCTATATAGTCAGATACCCGCATTCTACATATTTCTGCTCTTGTTTGGAGAGTAAAAGATAAAAACATTTGAAACTAGGATAATCTCCTTAATTTTTCTGTCTGCACAGGGGTTTTTGTTTGTTTGTTTTTTGAATGATTGACAGAAAAAAGAACACAACCATGCCCTTAACTGTTAAGCATTATATAAAATGTACTGTAATTGATGGTATTTTAATGTGTGGAAAGTACAGTATATTGTTTCTGGCACTAAAATTTTAATGGGAATTCGTGTTGCTTTTGGTTTTCATTATTGAAAATAATTGAATCTTATATTTCTGACTTCCTAAACAGTCCTCAGAGTCCTTTTCAGTTTAAGTGACTCCAAATTATCTCAGCTAGGGAGTATGAAAGATGCTTTTTTTTTACGAAACCATGCTACCTTAGTGCACATTGCCCAACAGCTCCATTTCCTGGAATAAAAACAGGCTACAGAAGTCATAAAAGGAGGATCAATAAACATGAACAATCAGACTTTTCTGAGCTCACTTGCTCTCTTACTAGGTTACTCTAGATACTGAAATGTTGGTAAACATTCAATAACTTAACTATCGCTCATCAAACTCCCAATACATGTGTAGCTTTAGAAAAGCAATACAAAATTAACTACTAAATCAATTGAAAGGGTTTTTTTGTAATATTTGGATAAGCGGAAACTCCTAAGAATCTTATAAAACTATGTATTATGTTCACATAAATATCTAAGGATTCAAGCATGGAAAGTATTGGTAACTTACAAATTTGTAAACAATTGTATCTGAATTTGATTTCTTCCAGATTGATGATGCCAAAGATTACTATAACTAAAAGATGAATGAATAGAGTTTTTTCTGTTTTGTATTTTTTTTTCAGTTCATTTACTTTGCATTTGGTTGTGCTTTGTGGCAATTGTTTTCATTTCTTCTCCTGTATAGACAGTCAGTTTCCCCTGCTATTGATGTTTGTTTTTCACACAGTAACAATTATAAAAAAAAATTAAGAAATAAATAATCAAATTTATATTTTAGGAAAGTGTGATAGTAAAGCCACATAAATTGTCAGAGGTATTCAGGGGCAGGTATTGATATCTGAGTCTTTCTCTGCTTACCTCATATTTTAAAAATGTCTAGATATCAAATTGATAGTGTTTTTGTAATTAATTTGCTATTTACAAATTTTTGCTTGCTTAAATTAAAATTTTCCTGTTACACATAGCACAACCTTGGATTTGAATGGTATTTGTCCTGTTTGAAAAGTTTTGCTCCTTTTGTACAGCAACATGTCTGAAGAGAAAGCTCTCTTATCATAGTCATAGAGAACGTATTTAAATGAAGAGACAAAAAGACATACTAGAAGTGTGGGATATAGTGCCCTCAGTAAAGGAGGAATTGGAGATTGATGATATATCAGAGATTACCCTGATATACCGTTTGTCTAAGGAACTATATTCTGTAGTTTCAGGGGGATGAGCTATATATAAACTAATATATCATCTTGATCATAACATATATTGTATGGTAAATCTAATGTACTCATGCTACAATATTGTTGAATTTGTCTTTTTGCCTGTTAAAGCCTCACTGTTTGCAGAAAGCATGGGATTTCCCTGTGAAGATTTAACCACTCAGAATTCTCTTTCAATATATTTAAAGTGGCTTAATCAAAACTGTCAGCCAAACTACTGGAAGGTACAGTATAATTGTTTTATTTTAGAAATTAGATCACACAACATTGCTTGTTACTATTGACTTGTTAAAGAAAGAAATACTTCATATTAAAGGAACAAAGAATGTTCCATTAAACATTTAAAAAAAAATCCTGGAATTCTTGCTCACTTGATATACTTGGGGATTGGAAGCCTGTTTGCTGCCTGATTTGTAGAATTATGTTAACGTTGATGTTAGTACAGTGATTTTTCATTTCTGAATTTGGGAGAAAATCCTAACCCTTAACAACAGAGGATGATTTCTCAGTGAGGCATGAGTGCAGAAACTTAAAATTGAGTCTCTAAATGAAATTCCTTACTGGGAATTAAGGCCTTGGTTTTGCAGGTATTTAAGCACATGAGTGACTTTTACGTATGGAAGTAGTCCCATTAAAATTATAGGGACCATTCATAGGCTTAAGTCTTTCCAAAATTGAAGCCTAAATTGGCAGCTGTAGATGATGACAAACGTAAGTTAGCATGTTTGTCTCTGTGCACAGACTGTTACATACTTGCAGAGCCCACGCATCTGTAGATTGTGTTGTCTTTTTTGTATCTGAAATGTGGTGGAATTGAGACAGTTTAATTTGGTACATACTCTCTTGCCTGTTCATTTACTTGAAAAAGTGTCCTGCCTAAAGTATTACTTTTTAACCAACTTTAGTCATCCTAAGTACAGGAGTCTTACTTTATCTCTTAGTGTGGTACTAACAGCAACTTTGTTTTTGTGGGTTCTTTATCTTGCTGAAGAATGCAAACTTGTTTTGACCAAAGAATGAGTCTTGTGATTGTTCTGCTACTTTTCTCTAATAGGCACTATCAGATTAACAGACCCTGTATCACACATTATTGAAAGCCAATCAATGCATCTCATAATAATATCCATAGCTTTTGTAACTTCAGTACAACTGTACATTAGATATCTTAAAATATTGTACAGCGGTAGTTATATAGTGGAATTTAGATTTTTGTTGAAGTCGTTTGTTTAAAATGCATCTTTATTGAAACATTAAAGACTCATGTGAATAAAATATTGATTACAGAATGTAATACCAGATGCTTCAAAATCCTGTGGACCATACAAACAGGCTAAACAATTAAATAGTGAAGAATGGATCAACTCACAGAAAAGAATAAATATTCATAATCATGATACAATTGGTAACTCTCTTTGGTTATTTTATGCTAAAAGATGTATTCATTTTTTTGCTTCATGATCAACTCAATCTTACTGAGTTCAAATAAAAAATATTTCAAACTGGTAGTATACCAGATGTACAGCACCATTTTCAAGTGTGTACTACTTACACACATGTTCTGAAGGAGTTGATTGCAACTCCTTAGTCAATTTAGGATTTGTAAGTCAAGAATCTATTTTAATCTTTCCTCTACTTTTTAACCTCTGATTTGAGCAACAGCATTGTTTGCAAATTGGTATGCTTAAAATAGGTTAGGAGTAATATTCTTGTAAAGACTTCCATACTTTACTGGTAAAGCTTTTTTGTTGTTGTTGTTGGGTCGTAGGCAATTCTGAAAGTTTATTAAATTATTTCTTGTATTTCATGATTAATTTTTCACGTGTTGTTGGCATAGCAGACATTCCAGAACTGCAGACTTCAGAGATACATTTCCAAACTCCTCAGTACAGATTATTTATCTATATTTTGTCAGTTAAATTTTGTCTTCTGCATTTTGGACTGGATCTTTGCCAACTTGGTGATTGATTGTCATGCAAAAAATCTTCAAAATTTTCATTACCAAAGAATTACCACTTAAGTGCTGAGACGCACACAAATTCATCAAAGTACTTAAGAACATGTCTAATTGACTTCAGTGGGACTACTTACTGCTTTAAGAATCTTTCTGAATTGAGGCCTGAATTACATAACTGCTTGAAGTAAGGGGGTGCCAAGATTGGTGGGTCACATGTTGAATGGTATGTCACCTCTTCATTTGTACTTGGTTAAGGTAGTTAAACTTTATTAATGTATTTTAGAGTGTTTATGTTTGTACTAGAGGCTTTTTGGACTCTTTGAAATTTGGATAAAATAAGCACTCACTAGAGAATTTAAATTATACTTATAATTGTTTTACCAAGAATGATTATATATGGCCCAATTTTCAAATGTTTTAAAATACCAATATTTAGGTCCCTCTGGAAATGACAATTCAGGTGTAAAACTTCATTTTAAAAATAGGGCCCTTACAAGGGCTATAAAAATATGATCAGTTTTCATGCTGCTGAATTGTAACACTGATGTTTTAACAAATATATGAGAAATTATTCTTGTTAAGCTTCACCATTATTTAAATCTATAGGCATGATTGTAATTGGTGGTTCCGGAAATGTTGCAGTGGGGACATCTACAAATGGTGCAGTCCACAAAATCCAGGGGTTAGTATTTGTAGTTTGAGAAAAAGGCATCTGTTATTTGTAATCCTTGATTTCATGTAAGTATCTGTGTAGGTGAGGTGATATTTTGCTTATCTGAATGATCGTGTTTATACAGGGACTAGCACAACAGGGCCCCATTTTTTGGTGGGTCTTTAAAGTGCTGCTGCAATTACAATTTTTAGTGGGTTGTTTGTTAAACTTTGTGTACAAATATAGTAGAAGTTACTTTAGGCCTGCTTTTTTCATTTTTTAAATGGGAGCAAGAATAGGTTCTTTTATGAGCATTGTCTAAAGAATTTGTGGATCTAGGATTACCCCCTGTATATTTGATGTTGAATTGAGTTTGTTGCTTTATGCTTGTAATAGCCTTTAAACGCTTTTTTTTTAAATATATGATACGTGACACACATTTTCACTCTTTAAAGTTAAAGAAACTTTAAAAAACTCATGTCAATGATAAGTTTGATTTGGTCTGACCCAATAAATATCTCCAGAACTTTAGGAGTCACAACAGGATCAAGGAATGAGGGCTTGTTTACACATGGACCTATTCAGGACCTATTCCTGAATAACTCTGTATGAACTCTCTTATTCAAGAATGAGTGCCTTTTTCCAAATTTGCCTAATCCACCGTGGAAGTGGACTAGGTTGAACCAGAAACCTTCTGGATCTTGAAGGAAGAATACTCTGGAAGGCTGAAACTGTGGAACAGTCATTATTTCACCAGGTGGTTTTGCTTTTTTCTTGGCAGTGTGTTGGAGTGTCTAAGTGTCAATCCTTGTTACTGAGAGTAGAGTGCTCTCATTGCCATGATGTAAGATTAGGAGTTCCTGGAGTATGAAACTGTAAAATCCTGGTGCGTTCTCACTGCTGCTATATATTTATTTATCGAAACAAGAACCCTGTCTAAGAATTTGCCTGTAAATATTGGGTCTAGCTCTGCTCTGGTACACTGATGCAACCCCACTGGCTTCAGCCAGGTTGCACAGTAGTGTAACTGGGACCAGAATTTGGCCCATTATAACTAACTGTCTTCATTTTAACTTGATGAGTTTCTTTTCCTTCCTCTTTTTAGTCGTGTAGGGGACTCGCCAATAGCTGGAGCTGGAGCCTATGCTGATAGTACAACTGGAGGAGCGGCAGCCACCGGAAATGGTGATATCATGATGCGCTTTTTGCCCAGGTTTGTCCCTTTAGGGAAGATTGCTTACATTTTTGCCAGAGAATTCCTGTGAAACAAATAAAAAAATAAAGTGTTGAATTAATAAAATTATCGGTTTTATTGGTTGCTTAATATATTTGGCCATCTCTTGCTTTTTTATTCATGCCAATCAACATGGCCATAAAAACCAGACTAGCCCCACATCCTCTGTTACAGACAACAAATCACTTAACAATTCTTTAACATGTTTTCTGTTACCTCATTGCAATTCCTGTGAATGTTGCCAAACCTGGGCTTTGACAGAAGGAATGAGTGGATTCTGGATGTAAATGCACTCCAGCAAAAATGCCTTGTGTCTTACACTCAAGTTTCAGTAGTGGGAACAAAACACTTCTTAAGTGTTAGGAAGAAGAGAAAGTGGTATCAGAAGTGGCTGTTTTCTTCACCATTGGAATTGTATATTGTCAGCATCTTAATTTGCCTGCGCCTTTTCATTTCCAAAAATCTGGGTGTCTGAATTTTGCAAATGGTCTTGATGGATAGCCTCAAATAGAATACATTACAGTACTCCATTCTGAAGGTTACAGAGACATTCATATTTACAATAGAATTCACAGCAGTGATCCAAACTATTCAGGCAACTGAACTGCCTACTCTAAAACTCTGACAACACAAATTAGTGCCTGCCACCTCGTATTCCCTTGTAAGTGGTGTAGACCTCAGTGGATCTTGAGCTACTCCAAATCAGTCTTGAAATAAGAGTGGACATTGGCATAGTTCATTGAGTTATTTTGAATGTTGAGAAGCTAGCTATAGTGCTACATTGATTTCAGCTCACAAGTTAATCGTTAAGATGCTAAGTCATCTTTTAGGCAGCCTGAAGAACTGGTTGCAAAAGCTTGAAAAAGCAGTGCTTATACATACCAGTTTTGGTAAATGATTGGACTAGAAGACTCTGTCTATGTCCTTTCTGTTTATGTCAGTGTGCTTGTTCTTGTGCAGATTGACAAGGGCATATAGTCTACAGTGGAATAGCTCTGAATTGTCAAAAGTTCAGAAAACAGTAATTATTTTGCCCCTTGTTTTTTCACTTCTGAAATGTTGATGTATGGTATAAGTTAATGTCTCAAAATATCAGACGGGTAGTCGTGTTAGTCTGGATCTGTAAAAAGCGACAAAGAGTCCTGTGGCAGCTTATAGACTAACAGAAGTATTGTAGCATAAGCTTTCGTGGGTGAATACCCACTTCATCAGACGCATGCGAAGTGGGTATTCGCACACGAAAGCTTATGCTACAATACTTCTGTTAGTCTATAAGCTGCCACAGGACTCTGTCTCAAAATGATTGACTTATGACGAAACAAACTATGGATATAGCTCAGGTGAATAGATAGGTTTTTTTGGTAACTTGTATCTCTGTGACAGAAGATATGGAGTCCAGAAATAAGGAACTTCCCAAAATGTGATAGTACTCTCCTCCAAAGTGCCAGATTTGAAGCTCATTCACTCCATAGTTGAGTTTTTCTTATTGTAGCAAGACATAGTGGCTTGATATGTTCATGTTTCTTGAAAACAAAACAGAATACTCTTTTAGGCCCATGTTGTACTGTTACACAAAATTGTTGACTGAGATTTTGCATTGTGGAAATGTAGAACTGGTCAGCAGTATCGTTAGTCTAATGATATTATTATGTGTTATGTATTGTTACTATTTATATGAAGGTATTTAAGTTTGGTTTGCATTTAAAATAAAGCACCTTTAAAAAAGAAAATGCCTTTGATGGCTCCCCAGTAAATCTGAGACAACTTTAAAAAAAAAATCATTAATGAGGAAAAGCAACAATTCAGCAGTTCTTGGAGACTTCAAGCAGGAAGGAGTTGATCAGTAGCTTAGTCTCCAATTTTGTGTTTTTGTTCCAAAGTAAATTATTTTGCTGTGTTCATATTAAGCGGACATGCAATTGATTGAGTTCTGATCTATCGTATTTTAGAATGTCTATTCTGATTATATTGAGTCACAATGAATAACACTTCTGATTTGTTTCCTAAATCAGCTATCAAGCAGTGGAATATATGAGGACAGGAACAGATCCAACTACAGCTTGCCAGAAAGTTATTTCCAGGATCCAGAAGTATGTTCCATACTTCTTTGGTGCTGTTATCTGTGCCAACACAACTGGAAGTTATGGTATATCTTACTGTTTTATTTTGTTCAACACAAAGAACTTTGACACAAACGAGTGAAACATAGAGGTGGATTTTAAAGGAGCAGACTGCAACTTTTTTTAACTTTAACCAGTGTTGGGGGCTGGAGGGAGCAAGGGGACTGTTCACTCTCACTATCAAATACCAGGCATTTTATTAGGTCCAGAGGTATATGATTAAATGGTATCCTACCAAATACCATTGGTGAATCAGGTTGGCCCTCTTCAGCCTAATATCTAAGATTTGCACAGAACTTTCCTGGAGGAGTTAGTAAATACTCGAAACCATTTACAGCCTCAATTTGTTGTAAAAGGTTGTGTATAAAAAAAAAAAGCCCAAACTTCTTTGGGACATGGCATAAGGCAGTCAGAATGTGTACACAGCTTCGAAGGAATCCAAGATCAGCCATTATGATGGGCATCTCATTAGTGAACCCTTAGATCAGTAGAAAGTAAAATTTGCTGATCAATATGGCTTATTGGGTAGACTGGTTGTTGTATATCTTTGCTCTTACTTCCCACAGTTCTGTGTTTGAGAGATTAGAGTTGTAGGAACACATTACACTCATCAGTATTAAAATATGTTTTTTTCTAATTTACATTACTAAGTTTATTAAGTGCACTACACTTGTAATGAGAACACTGTTTCCACCTGAAAAGTAAAATGCTTTTGAGAAATCTCAATGTTGGGTTAAACAGATTTTAAAAGGAAATTACACCATTGTAGCAGAATTAATAATTGAATCTTTAGAAGATGAAATATGACAGACATACTAATCCTATAGGGAATAGGCAAGTCACTTTTGTTTCTATTTTCCTTTCCCAGGTGCTGCCTGCAATAAAGTTCCAGGATTCACTCAGTTTCACTTCATGGTTTATAGTCCTTTGCTAAATGAGCCATCTGAGCAAGTTGTAGACTGCATTTAATTTTTTCTGTACCATCTGCATTTACAGTTAAATATGAAGGAGGAAAAGAAGGCTGAAAAGGCTCACTGACTGCCATTTTACAAAGTGTTTGCAGTTTCCTTTTGCACAGATATTTGAGGAAGAGTAATGTATGTGGAGATAGCACATATCTCTCTCCTTTTTTTAATGTATTTTGTTTTATTACCATGTCACCAATATGTTAGTAAACTTGATTTGTAGTTTCTCAAGATAGCAAACTAATTTATTAATCTGGCAGGTTATTTCTAAATTCTGGTGGGCAAGTTGGCTTCGTCTACAGGATGAACCTATTTTTTTTTTTTTTTTTTTTTTTTAGATACTGTGTAGAGATCCAAAATATCTACTAATGATAAAGTGGGATTTCAAAATACTCTGCTGGTATATGTTGATGACTATAGTTTAAAATGGGAAATGCCTTTTGGAACCAGTCTCAAAAACAGATGAAAGTTTGTATGACTGTTGTACCAAGAAGAACTGGAGAACAATTTCTCCATGACTGCATGGAGAAGCAAAAGCTTCTGCTTTTGTGGTGATGCTTCATTGTTCCATGATGTTCAGTCACAGTAATGCAGTATTACATTACAAATGTTATCCTGCAGTGTCAGGAAATTACTCTATTTTGTGGCTTTTTGTGACTCAGGTACATTATATCTTCACTCCCTCCTTTCTTCTTTTATTTGTGGGAACAAATGGAGATGTTTCTTACTCCCCTTCCAATCCCAAAGTGTTGGGTAGGATCCCAGCAACCGACTCATTTTCCGAAGATGGTTTCCATACTGTGCTTCCCTTTTCACTTCGCATGTTGTGTTCTGTCAGTGTGGGCAGTGCTTCTGTGATCAGCACTCCATTGCTGCCTAAGCTCAGGTAAAGCATCCATCAGATGTACAGATTCCGAGCCCACAGGAGAACTGTGGTTAGAATAAGGCTGATTTTTCTGTATTAAATCTTTCACTGGCCATAATTTATTTTTGTAAATCTCTTCATTTTAACAGACCTTTTTGGCAACTGAACCCCAGATTAATAAATTAGAGGTGATAAGTAACAGCATGGATTTGTCAAGAATAAATCATATCAAACAAACCTGATAGCTTTCTTTGACAGAGTAACAAGCCTTGTGGATGGGGGGAAGTAGTAGATGTGCTATGTCTTGACTTTAGTAAGGTTTTTGTTACTGTCTCGCATGACCTTCTCATAAACAAACTAGGGAAATACAACCTAGATGGAGCTACTGTAAGGTAGGTGCATAACTGGTTGGAAAATTGTTCCCAGAGAATAATCATCAGTGGTTCACAATCATGCTGGAAGGGCATAACAAGTGGGGTCCCACAGGTATCGGTTCTGGGTCCGGTTCTGTTCAATAACTTCATCAGTTATTTAGATAATGGCATAGAGAGTACACTTATAAAGTTTGCGGATGATACGAAGCTGGGAGGGGTTGCAGGTGCTTTGGAGGAGAGGATTAAAATTCAAAATGATCTGGACAAACCAGAGAAATGGTCTGAAGTAAATAGGATGAAATTCAATATGCAAAGTACTCCACTTAGGAAGGAAATATCAGTTGCGCGCACACACACAAAATGGGAAATGACTGCCTAGGAAGGAGTACGGTGGAAAGGGATCTGGGGGTCATAGTAGATCACAAGCTAAATGAGTCAACAGTGTAACACTATTGCAAAAAAAAGCATATATCATTCTGGAATGTATTAGCAAGAGTATTGTAAGCAAGACAAGAGAAGTAATTCTTCTGCTCTACTTCGCGCTGATTAGGCCTCAACTGGAAAATTCTGGGCACCACATTTCAGGATAGATGCGGACAAATTGGAGAGAATCCAGAGAAGAGCAACAAAACTTATTAAAGGTCTAGAAAACATGACCTATGAGGGAAGATTGAAAACATTGGGTTTGTTTAGTCCTGGAGAAGAGAAGACTGAGAGGGGACAGGATAACAGTTTTCCAGTACATAAAAGGTTGTAACAAGGAGGAGGGAGAAAAATTGTTCTTCTTAACCTCTGAGGATAGGACAAGAAGCAATGGGCTTAAATTGTAGCACGGGCGGTTTAGGTTGGACATTACGAAAAACTTCCTAACTGTCAGGGTAGTTTAAGCACTGGACTAAATTGCCTAGGGAGGTTGTGGAATCTCCATCACTGGGGATTTTTAAGAGCAGGTTGGACAAACACCTGTCTGGGACTGTCTAGATAATACTTAGTCCTGCCTTCAGTGCAGGGGACTGAACTAGATGACTTCTCGAGGTCCTTTCCAGTTCTGATTCTATGAAATTCTTGGAACTGTCCTTCTGATGCCTATGTATGGAAATACAGTACTTTCTCCCATGTTTCCTCACTAGTCTTTATGTAAAAACGTATACTGATAGGTCACTTGTCTGTGGTCTTTGGATGTAGACAGTACTGCTTGAGATGTATAGATTTGTTTTCTTTCTTTAATTTACTAATCATCAGTAATCTGTCACAATTTAGGATGCACTACAATAATGCTTATAAAAATACTTCTCTTTATACTGGCAACAAAATTTTAGCTTGGGGTTTTTCAGCTGCTATTTATTTGTTCAGTAGTGTAATAAACTGTACTGTTTTCTGTAAACTTTTCCTAGCCACAAGCTGGCTGCCACTTCAAATATATCACTCCCTTAGTAACTTGTTACTTTTCTTGTGGTTACTTCAATTTTTTATAAATCAGTTTCTTCTCCCTGCTTTCTCAGGTTGTGATAATACCTTTACCCATAGATGGCGCTCAACTATGCCCATTTGCACAAGGTTTTAAATATTTGTTGGTTCTTGTAGCATCAGTTTTCTCCATTTAATTAGAATTTTCGTATCCTCAGCCTGCCACTTTGTATTGAAAATTGAATTATGAAGTTCAGTCAGTTCTCTCTGCAGGATGCTTAGTAAAGGGAAATGCTTCCTTTGTCCTTGTTCTGCTCTCTGCATTCCCTGCCCCCCACCCCACCTTCCCCACACACACCCTTTGTAGGTTACACCTCTAAAGGAGCAATTGCATGTATACAATGGAATTTATCTTTAGGGAACAAAATTATTTGAGTGCCTAGCACCCTGAGAAAGTGCTATTTCTCATTTCTTCTCCTACTACATCTCATTTGCAGATACCAAGTCTTATTTATAATGTACTGCCACATACTGTGGTTCTTTCCATAGATTTTTGAAGATCGGTTTTAAAGGATTTTTGATCTTCCTTCTAACTTGGCAGGCTTGCTGATCAATTTATTAAATCAAGAGCTTGAGATTGATAAGGAAATGTAAAAGGGAAAAAAGTTAAAATGACCATATCATACCATAAATATTTTAATCAGCTCTGTTTACTTGAGTAAAACCATTGGGTAATGCAAGCTTACTTTAATGTATCTTAATTAGTTTTTTGGAGTCCTTGTATACTCTGCATTAAAATGGTCGTTGCCTTATGTTCTGAGTTTCTGTGTTTTTAAAAGCTGGAAAAGCTTCCTGACAAGAATGGCTGTTGTTTTTAATGACATGCTATTAACTGTTCTGTTGATGAAGTTCAATTTGGAGGATTCATTTCCTTCACTAGCTGTTGAATGTGGATGAAAAGATGCTTTAAGAACACTTGTGGAAGGTTTTCATGTGTTTGAATTAACTCTACTCAGAATGCTTTTCCTCTGTAAAAGTGTCAGTTCTCTGTACATCTTGTTAATTTTTATGCAAACAAGTAGTCAAAGGGCTAGATAAACGATAGGTCATAAGCAGGTAAGGCCAACATTTAAGCACAACTTTGATCTGGAAAACCCCTGCTCAGCTGCTGCTTAACTCTGTAAGTACCTAAATTCCCTAAGTGCCTAAGCTGCCACCAGTGTGCATGCACAAAACCCTCAGTTCTGATGACACCGAGCTGCTTGGAGTTCTAACTCAAGCCTAAGTCTCAGTGGAATTCTCAGACTAGGTTTTCTCCTGTCTGTCTTGTGTGATCCAGTAGGCATGCTCAGAGCTTTCCTAACTGCACAAAAGGCAGCTAGATTTGGGTGGAGAATGTCCAGAATATGTGACAGCTCAGCTGTGATGTGAGAGACTTGTCTTCAGATCCTCACTCTGGCTGATTTGGAGCAGGGACTTGAACTTAGGTCTCCTATATCCCATGTGAATGACCTAGTCACTGGACTTTGGGGTATTCTCCTGTTAGAACTGTTCCACTTTCTATAAATTAAATATTCCTTGGGCCACAGAGGGGAGAGTGACTGTACAGCCCCCAAGGAGCAGGATTGAGCTACTGGAGTTTGAGCTCAACATAGTAGAGAACAAAGGAAATGATATAAAATTGGGTTGGGGGAAAAGGGGAGCAATGCAATGGGAACTCTTCCAAGTTCTTCCCATTTGGAATGTTATGAGGAGGCTTGAATATGCCAGGGAGCATATTCTGCTGAGCACCTTGGGTTTGGCCCTCCCTTGGCAGAACTTGGCTGTTTCTCAGTGAGACATGGATACCAGTTATGTGGGATTGTTTGTGCTTTGGCATGGCTGTAATGCACTGTGGGGCCTGAATAATATTGCTTCCATTTAAATTAAACCTGTAACCTAAACATAATCAAATGTATACCATTTAGGAACAAGTTATTGTGAGTATACAAGAACTTAGTCCCTCGGGGTGATGGGGGGCGGGGGTATTAAATATGTAATCTTATCTGTGGAGTTCCTAATAATGCCTCCATAACAAGAATTAGCCATTTCTGAAACTTTGTCATGAGAGAGTGAGGGTATAACATTTGGTGATGAACTATCTGTTGCAAAATAACTCCTGCGATAGTTATAATCCAATCATATTTTGATTATTAAAAGGAAAACATACGTTCATAAAAACATTTCCCAAATGAACGGGGATCTCTTTTCCATATGGAATTGAGGGTCATCAAATCAAGAACTTTTATAGTTCACTGTTGATTTGTTTTCCTGGGAAGAATGTGTTAAAATATTAAAACAAAAGATATTAATAGAGGCAAAAGACCAGAATTGAATTTATTTTATTACTGCTTCAAGACTAGTATTTAGAAAAGTTTACTTGTCCCAAAAGCTTTTGTACTGGTCTGCCACAATGTTTCCAACCTTGGCAGTTCACCAGCCAGTGAACCTTAAAATGACGTTCTGACTTTCTATTTATCACTGTGGCTGCAATAGGGTTTTTGCATCCGCTAATTGGAGAGCTTGCTAGACAGCTTCATTCCACTCAAAGCTGGGAATCCACATATGGGTCATAGAAACCATTTGTTTCATTGATATTCCAGTTCGTAAAATAACTGCTAAAAATTACAGAGAAATTTAAATGGGAGTGAAGGGGGAAAGCGAGATGGTAATTGGCATGATGTGATGTTATAGTTAAATAACTTGTTGCTCATCAGTTCTAAATAAACATGTTCTATTACAATAGTATTGAAAATGTGTGCTATATGTACATGTACGCATCATGGAACTAATAATTGATGTCTCATAACCTTGATCACTGCTTAAAAGTTGTATCGGTATTGCATTTAATACTTTAATTTGCTTATTAAGCACGCTGAAGGGTTAATGATCTAGAAAGACAAAACTTAAAAGAATAGTATGCGTGAAACAGGAGAATGTACATTCAACACTGGGATCCTTCAGGTGTAGTAAGTGTATTGGGTCCCATTGGGGCACCTATTTGTGTCCTGCTTGCTGAATTGTGTGTGTGTGTGTGTACACACTCTGCAATAAAAGGCCTGGCCTGGCCTGGATTAGCTGACTTGGGCTCAAGGTGCAGGGCTATAAAATTTCAGTGTAGCTGTTCCAAGCCTGGGCTCTGGGACCCTCCCCCTTCGCAGGGTCTCAGAGCCTGGGCTCCAGCCCAAGCCTGAACCTTTACACTGCAGTTTTATAGCTCCTGAGTTCCAGCCTCATGAGCCCAAGTCAGCTGTGCCGCAAGTCTTTTATCACCCTCTAGATATATCCTTTGAGTCCTACTTTGTAAATTAGCTTTTGAATTTAGAACTCTATCTATTTTTGCATCTTGGTTCCCTAGTATTCCTTACTGAATTAGTGATTTACCAGATTTATACGGACACAAATTGCATACTTCAG